ATGAATGCAGCCTGTCTGCAACTCTTTAAAACAGCCCCGCCTTCTTCTGGGATCATGTGACAGCTGCAGCCGAGCAGTCTCAGAATAGATGTGGCTGCTTTAAAGAATTCTAGAGAGAGGCTACATACATATGTACGTATGTACATATGAGCTCCAAAGCATCATTTTGAACCTGAATCTGATCCACTGTACAGCTGTACTGCCCACCAGCCTTTCCCTTTACAGTATATTAACAGTTCACTTTGGAACATGAAGAACTAGATAGCAAAAATATTTTTAATGTATTTATTATTTTTCACCTTGCATTTTGCAAAGAAATGACAGTTCTCTCTTGCAGGAAAAAGTCAGTGGCAGATGACTTTTGTTTGATAAAATTTCCACAGTGCACTTGAAACTTGCTCCTAAAATTCACTTTTTCATCAGAACAGGCACAGCCCTCTCAATCCTTTGGGTAAGCTATTGCTGTGTGAAGAGGTTAGAAATTGTAGGAAAGGAGTATGTACCTCTGAGGTCTTCTTTTCAAGAATGTCCATATAGGATGGGTCCTACAGTCAGTGAGATGCTCCATGTCTGTTGATTTCATTTCTTTCCCTTGTTACACTGTGACCAGCAGAAGACAGGGATTTATTGCATGAAATTCTTTGCTCTGTCCTATATCTGGAGGGCCAGCACTGATTGGGGGGTGACCTCTTCAGGATCTTGAGGTCAGCAGGTGCGAAATAATTGCTTTAGGAGAGATCTGGGCATTGAATCTTGCTGGTGTGGAAGTCATGATCTACTAATCCAGTGTTTCTCAACTTGGCAACTTGAAGATGTGTATATTAACTTGAAGACGCATGGACTCCCCAGTGGCTGGCTGGGGAACTCTGGCAGTTGAAGTCTACACGTCTTCAAGTTGCCAAGATTGAGAAACACTGTACTAATCTAATGATCTGCTGGTGTAGAAGTGACTTTCCACTCTGTATGTGCAGTTCTCGCCTGTCTTCCGTAGAGAGATGTTTTCATTCAGTCCTTAAGGAATTGAAAGTAAGATAGCCAGCAACTTTCCCTGGTAATCCACTTATGATAATAGAATGCATACAAGATGAGCCAGCTGGTGAATGAAGTCTTGGAGCAGTTTGACTAGCCTGGTGTGTTTACATTTTTACCCTGGGGGGGCGGGTGTTATGTTCTTGCAAAGCTTCTAATTTCCTCCATGTGACTTGGCACATGAGGAAACAAGATAATCCAATTCATAAAAGAGGACCTGAATGATTCAGAATACACCAACCAGTTTTATAGGAATAACCTTTGGCTGTAAGTTGGTCTCATGTATTCTTATCACCTTCTGCCTCAAATCTTATTTTCCTTTTCTTTTTTTTCCTTTTCTTTTTAACCAGGTTGACTTCCTGTCAAGCAACTTAATCCTTCCCCAGAGGATTAAGTTCTTCTGTTCCGATTATAAGAGCTTTTTAAAATACTTATAACCAAAAAGACATCTCAGTTTCACCCTGATTTGGGGATGCTAATGAAGTTTTCTCACAAAAATAGCAAGGATGCTGGAATCCAAGGCAGAAAACAATACAAAACTCCAGGAGAATACATGTTGGATTAATTTTGTTCTGATGTAGAGGAGGACAACTTCTCACTTGATCCCAGCTGTTGCTGTAAAAGGATTGAAAAGATTGGTGTAAGCTAGTCATGCCGTTTGGGTTGACCTACAAGTCCACGATCTCCTTATTGGAAGGGAATGACACCTCCACCCCAAAGATATGGGTCTGTGGCAGTCAGGCTTGGTACGCTTGCCAAATGAACAATAGAATCCTTCTTTTTCATTTTTAAAAGTCACCCTGTGCCTAGTGTAGCCCTTGGTTTACAAAACATGGTTCTTGCCTTATTTTTGGTCTCTTCCTACTATTTTAATGTTAGATTGTAACCAGATGGAAATGGGAGTTGCTGATACATTTCTCTGTCTCTTGGTCATATTTCTTTATAAAACCTTGGCCGTCTTGAGAGGTATAAGAGCTGACCTGGAGGTCATCGCTGCCATACAGCAGAGATCCCATTGGGTTTTTAGAAATGGCTCCTCTTGGGTCTATTTGCAAAATCTTAATTGTAATCAGAACCCATCTCTCATTATTCATCATCGAGTAATTACTTACCACTGGTTCCACTGCTGCATTTTATCCTACACAAATTCAGTAGAGGTCATCTTTCCGTATATTTGTGGAAATAGGTTCTGAAGCAAACACATACCTTTATTTCAAGGAAGCATACTTGGGGTTAGAGCTCTACTCTTTTAGCCCATAAATTGTAGACATACAATATGCTAAACAATCATGTGGAGGAGCACTGCACTAGTTCATTTGGATCCCCCAGCTATGGATAACCATATCCATGGCTTATTTAGTTGATCATGCAATCAAGGGAGTAGGGTATATTCCTTTTACAACAACTCCCCCACGTGAGCCAAGAATCGACCATATAATGTCTTTAGACTGTATGCTCCCTTGAACCACCCAGCAACTAAAAAGTTACAACAAGAACAGTCAGTATGGAATACTGGTTTAGAGGTTGGATTAGTGTACCCACAAGCTTGCTGGGTGACTTTGAGCCAATTACTCAGTCTCAACCAACCCTATTTTTCAGGGCTGATTTATGGAGAAAAATTGGAGGAAGGACTGCTTAGATATTACATTCTGAGCTTCTGGAAGGAAGGCAGGATAAAAAATCAATGAATAAATAAAATACAATATAAAGAGAAAAAAGATTGCAACTTTAGCAAGTTAAAGATCTGTCTTCCTGTTGTTCTTTAATAGATTTAATCCCAATCTTGGTCTTAGCAATTTAGTTATTTAATGATGTTGCAATTATAGGTTTTCCTTTCTTTCTTTTTCCCTGTAAGCTGCTCTGAGAGTACTTTTATTAAAATTAGCAAGGTACAGTATATATTTTAAAATTGGGTGTGCATGTATGCACACATGCTTTAGAAACATCCAGGAGGGAAAAATGAGGAGGGAATGCTGTTTCTCCAGCTGCTGCTTTCATGGAGCGTATCTCAGACACCCAAAACGTGTGTGAGAGAGTTCCTTAAACACGCATTCCTTTACAGAAGCTGTGTAGTCTTTTCACAGCCTAAAAGAGAGAGAGGAAAAATTTGAGCAATGGATTGCATTCCATCTCTGATGAAAGCTAATGCACAAAACACATGCCATTCTCAACTTTCCCTGCTCCACAGACAGCACAAGGTCAAATCCCAAACCAAGAACTGCTTGAAGGACTGGTTTCTACATTCTTGCACTGAAAATCAACAAATATGAACTACTGTAGTTTGCATCGAAGAAAAGGCCAAAGCTGGTTTAGCCATTCTCATTGAGATGTTCATCCATGTCACTTGGAGAGAAAATGTTACTTAGGAATGAAATGAGAGTTGGTGGCAGGTACAGGGAACAGATATAGATTGGATTTGTTGTTTTGGAAAAAAATGGGTAGAGAAGTCAATCAATTATGACCACTCAAGATACTTACCAAAAAAGTTAACAATCCCACCTACGGTCCGGAGTCAGTGCTCATAGCAATGGGTAGCATTATAAAGTTGTCCACCATATCTCCCTCTCCTTACTGGCTTGCTGATTACCACAAAGGAATTTCTTTCCAACAACTCTACCCACTTTCTAACTCCAATAAACAGAGAGTTATACGAGGGGTGAATAGCTGCATGTACCTAACACCATGAATAAGTGACCAACTGGATTGGGAAGTTCATAGTAAGTGAAGGCAATCTTCTCTGGTTTCTTTCCCAATACACGCGTCCCCTACAGAAGAAACAATTCGTGCGTTGTACAGTATACCCCCAATCCATTTCCTTGATGCTGTTTCTCCCTCTATATGTCATTCCCATCCTCAATATGATTTTTTCAGCAGATGAGACTTCTTTGGACTACCAAGTTCTGGGTGCTCCACTGTAACGCTTACCAATGTGAGAGGTTGTAAAGCTCTACAAGTCTAGCTTTGGCTTTGATCTCAAGTTGTGGGCAAGTGATTTAAGGCAGAAAATCCGTAGGCTTTTTTCCTTACCAAGTCTGTCCTATACTGTGCACCTTAAAACTTGGCTTAAGAGAAAATGAAGTCCAATAGTGAGACTTCAAGGCAACATGTATGAGCATTTCCTGGCCGGTACAGAAGGTCTGGTTGAGTCTTTAATCCCTTGTCTATAGACTTCTTCCTGAGTCTGAGAAAAAGATGAAAAGGACATTGAGCTATAATAGAGCTGAAAGAACTTCTTTTCTGCATTTATATTTCTTTTATCAAAGGGGAGTTTGTGGCATTGAAACCAAATATTTAATGGGTTAGTATAAACACTTATGCTTGAGACAACCCTCCCTTTATTAGATAATTCCAAAATAAAGAACATGCCCGGAGGTAGTTCATGTTAGCTTCTTGAAGGAATTTGAATGATGGCAAAATTAAGATTTAGGCAATCTTAGCCACCTTTTAATCAAAAATACTTAAGAACTTGCTAGTTTCTCACTGTTTTCCAAGCTTTATTCAATTCAGGACCAAGATATTTAAGTGATTTTCTCCTGTGTGTGAACTTTCTTGTTGGCTAATGGAAAAGGATATTTGATCTGTCCTCCGTCTGCATTTGGTGACAGAGCAAGACTTACCTCTACCTGCTTTAACAAACTTCTGACCTTAGATGAAGATTTTTTTTTCCTAATTTCAGGAAGCCACTTTTAAAAACATTGCATAGCTGCTGACGTGTATGCTTCTTTATTTATGCTTGTTGTTGTTGCTGATTTTCATCTTTCTGTAGTAGCCATCTGGACTATTTCCTTTCAATTAAAAAAAAACAGGATAGACTCATGAGAATCAACTTTTTGGAATTCTTTAAAAATCAGTAAAAATGTGGACATGAGGCAAAAATCAAGTAGGTTAAATTCCCATCACTGTATCGCTATGAGGAAGGAGATGTTTACCTGATAATAATTACTTTTTGTTCACAAGTATCTGTATATTAGATCAGATCTGGCAGATGGGGCATGTTACAAGTCCCGTCTAGGAAGGAGTTCCATCCGGCAGGACCCAGGAGGAGAACCTTTTTTGCCATGGTGCCCATCCTGTGGACCACCATCCCACCTGAGGTTAGACGGGCCCCAACCTTGTTGACCGAAGTCCCTGAAGACATAGTTGCGTCATCAGGCCTGGGGATCCCTTGGAGGTGGAGAGCCTTCAAGATGGCTGTATTGTTTATGAGCGGTGGGTTGTCACTCTCCTACATTTTATGCTTCTGGTTAATGTGTTTTTAATTGCGTTAATGTTCATTTATATGAGTTTTGGGGGGGGTTTTGCTTTAACTTGTGAACCACCCAAAGTCATGTATATGAGATGGGTGGCTACATAAAATGAATGAATGAATGAATGAATGAATGAATGAATGAATGAATGAATGAATGAATGAATGAATGAAATGTTAAGCTATTTGGCGGAAACCCCTTCCTGGGATCTTCCCCACTTTCTGTAAAAAAGGCCTTCTCTATGGTGACATCCCAGCTGTGAAAGGGTATTTAGTGGTTCCTGACAAAGACCTCTAAAAATGTTTCAGGTTTTTCATTCAAGTTGATTTGTTAGTATCTTTACTAGGCCTGTTGCTTACTTTATATTCCAATAGTGATTTTAGCCTTTGTACTATATTTGCATGTTTTCAATATGTTTCCAACTGAAGTGCTGTAAAACACTCTAAAAATATTATTGAAGGGCAAAGATATAAATCTGTAAAATTCTCTCTCTCCCCCTATTTTTTATGAAGCAAATCCTTTTAGATTCTGGAGTACATGGTTGTTTAACAGCACCACTATATTGCACTGAACCTTGAAATATTTTTTTAAAAAGAACTCTGGAGGTGTTTGAAGGTATATCTGGTCTTGGTTAGGAACATGCGTGCAGGTCTTATGATCATCACCTATTGACAGCACAGTGGCAGACCTAAAGAAAGATTATTCTTGGCAAGATGTGAACAGGAAATGGAACTTGCTTTTCTTCAGTTTCCTCCTAGGTAATATGTCAATTTTTTCCCTCCTCTAATATACAATAGCTGCCTGGTTTTTGTTTCTCCTGTGGAGCTTGAAATGCAAATAAAGACTGCATTCTGTTGATCATGCAAACAACAGAGTTCCAATAAAATCCATCTCATTTCCTTGTTTAGTGTTCCAACATTAGAAATACGGAAGTTCAAGGATGGCTCACACCATAGTCTTCAATAAATGCAAGTGTACTCTAATATAGTGGGTGAATCATAGACTCTAAGATTAGAGACTTGGGTTCAAATGTCTTTTCAGCCACGGCATTTACTGGTTGGTGTTTGTCAGCCCTTTAAGGGAGTCCCAACAAGAATCACCAACCATGAGTACTAACACTACCTTTATTGTAAGGTTATATTAGCAGAATCTTGCAAGTCTGAAAGGACATCTGTCCCCCCTCACCTTTACGGTCCAAGAAACGAGGGAGGGTCCCTTCTGAGATGTTTGCTACACCCCTATTCCTTCTGCGGGCTAAGCTGCCTCTTATCTGACTGTTCCCTAGACCGTGGCTCCTCTTCTTCCTGTCTCGTAAGGACATTTCACAGACCATTATAATGTTGGACAAGTGATTTTAACTCAGATTAACATTAATTGGAGAATAGTTGGGGTTTATATTGCGATTTTGTCTCTGTTTAGACTCCCTTGAGCACATGAAGGGGGGGACATGATAAAAGTAAAGTCTGCTGCAGGGATCAGTGTACTTATCAAAGGTTTTTGTGACATTTTGGCCATTTAAAAAAAACAAACATATTTTTAAATGGAGGGGTGCAAATACCTGTTTGAGTTTCATGAAGATACTATGGTATTTATAGGTAATCTGACCAAATGGGCCACATTTCTGTACTAGTTGGGACTTCTGAACTGTTTCCAAGGGCTGTCCTGTATTTAATGTTCTATAGCTATCTAACTTAGATGTTACTGTAGCATGGATTGATGTAGCCAAGCTTTCTGTATCCAGGAAAGACTGCAGCTACTGAACCATGGGATGGTGGAAGGAGATGCTCCAGACCACCAAGCCTAGTTGGGCTCAACTGATACTCCTTTACTTGTGAAAGTGGACATCATTGCAATTCCTCTAGGCTTACCTTGGCTTTCTTACATCTCAGGCAAAACCTGTGCATGCAAGTGGTTGATGTTCTTCTTTCAGGGCATGCAAATGGTGTGCTGTTTCCTTCCACTGAATATTGAACTGGCCCGTATGAAAATGTTTTGTCAATAAAACATATCAAGCCCTCTGTGTTGGGCCCTGCCCCTCTGAGAGATTTCCTCTATTGAATTGTATTTTTTGAATGGATACAATGTGCTGTCCTTTGGGGGTCAAGGGTCACATGTTTCGTTTGCCATCTGCCATGTTCCATAATCCTGTCTCTCAAGCTTTCTATCATTTCAAGACAAACAGTCAGACAAGCATATTGTTAGTGTAGCCAATCTCTCCTTAAGCCTTAACTAACCTACCTGTGAGAGATTGTGGGGAGACTGGGAAAGGAATGGGAAGGGAGAGGAGTCATAAATAGTCAAGAGATAGCAGGAGACAATCAGTTGACAGTTTATCTCATAAACTGCACTCAGTCCAGGTGGAAACTTGGGAAGAAGCGTTTCAGATGATTCGAAGAGGCGAACTCACTATCAATGAGAGTGGGAAATTCCTAGTACAGGTTCCAAGATTCTGTATTTACCCTAGACTAACCTTAAAGAAATCCTACTGAAATCTGTGCGGTTCTTGCCCAGCTGGGTAGAGTTTAACACTATTGTTCTGATGCACCCAAGTTAATTCTGTGAGGTGTTATGGAGCCTTCATCTTGCTGATTACATAAACTATAACATCTGTAGGAGGAGCATGTGGAAAGTCCAACTAACATTCAGATATCACCCATCCATTGTCATGTGCTGACAGTACAGGAAGGTGAACTACAAAATTAGGAGAGAGCATTGTTGTGTCCTGTGAATAGGGCCTGTGACAGCTGAAGCTGTGTCCTCATCCTTAGAGTAATGTATTAAGTTACCAAGCCTTATTCTACTATTTCACATTCTTTTACATTCCAAATCATAATACTAAAACAATTTATAAAATGGTAGAAGCACAACTCCTTTCCTAGTAAAGCAGCTTAAACCTCCCATTTGAGCAGTTCTTATGGTTATCCACTAAGCCTTCCCATGAGCGAAGTAGTGACAGCAGAACACATTGGCAGGATGAATCAAGGCAGCCCGTGAGTGTGTCAGCGTTGCAGGCTAGAGGTGAAACAACAACTCTTGGGACACCAGCCACCTGGCAGACTAGTTGAACAGGTATGTTGCTGCAGAGTTGGTTTGCCTCCCGACTGGCTCAATGCTGCATGTTCCAGTCATGTTTGCGGAGTGCAAGCTTGTAGCAAGGTAGATGGTCATCCTAGTCAAGATAGACCACATGCCAGTATATTCTGAAACAGTATAACTTAAGACAGGTTGCAACCAGGAAGAGTTTTTGAACCTGGGGTGCTTTGGAAATTCGTTTGGAATTCCTCTGTTACACACAAATATCTAACAAAGGTCCTCCGATTTCCTCCTTGGTGAAACACTCCCAAGGAGTGATGTGTGAATTCTAGAACACGTTCAGTTAATCTGGGGTGAACTCTGGCTGGTGGTTTGTTTGAATAGATGTTCTCTGGACAACAACATCTATAGTCTCAAACTACCGGCCATGTTGACCTGGACTCCAAAACATCTGGAGGGCTTTAACTCCATTCTGCTCCAGTTTTACAGAAGAGAGAGGATCACCAAGAAGTTTTTGGTATTGCCTGTTAGAAAACATAAGATAACAACTGTGTATTCTTCAGGGGTTAGTTAGTTGTAACTAATAACTAACTATTCTATGGTAGACTGTTGTAGAACCTTCAGAATGAGGACAATCCAGAAGATGAAGGGGAGAGAATGGAATGCCCAAGTATCCATTAAATTTTAGGCCTGATGTCCTCCAAATGCTTTGGGTTACAGTTCCCACTTTTGCTTTGTTTACTTTGACCTAATTGACTGGAGCTGCTAGAAGTTAACATCAGAAATATCTGGAGGGCACCAGATTGCCTATCCCTCCTCTAGGCACAGGTTTCAGATAAAATCAATGGGTCAAAAGATAACTTCGGCAAAGCTGTTGAAAGAAACAACTACAGAAATATGCTGGCGAAAATAGCTAAATGCTTCTTGGGACACAGGGATGCTGCATTTCTCAAATGTGATCCTGGCTTTAACAGGAAGTCTCAAGAGACTGCTGCCCCCAAATAACTCCTGGGTGCATAGGATGTTAGTTCTGTCTTCCTCAAGGGAAATCCCTGGTCCTCCTTGGGTTCCGCTAGTGGGTTAACCATATGTCTCCAGTAGATAGATGTCTCCTAACCAGATTTCATAACTATCATTTCAGATGCCCGTGAGGTTAAAATCATGGTCCTGCAACTCCCTCTGATCTGTTGGTAAGTAGGCTAATAGAAAATATTTTCATGTCTCTGTCTCCAGAACCTACTGTTACGTATAACAATATGCTGAAATGGCCATTTTCCCACCCCTTCTAAGCTGTGGTTTTGTCTATCAGAGAGAGAGAGAGAGAGAGAGATTCCTTCCAAGGAAGCAAGCTTGAACATCAACTTCTAGAGAAGTTGCTCTCCAGAAACCCATATTCAAGAACAAAAGAAAAAGCAATTTCAAGACAAACTTGAAAGCTGAAAACAGTGCACTTTTTAAATGAACAAAGGAAAAGGCAGGCAGCATTTTAGCTGTGATTTGTCAGATCTTTCTAAACTTGTCAGTAACAGAGAATGTGTTTCCAGGCCAAAAGTAAAAAGGGGTTACCTGCTTCTCAGGGAAGAAGATATTTTGTCATCGAGATCTGTGTTCTTTTTTGAAGGATGCACCTGCATCTGAGGGGCTGTCCAGTCCAGTTTAAAGAACCCTAAAATGGCTTGGAAACCTGCCCCTGAATATTTAATATAGCAGATTGAGCAGGTCTGAAGGTAAAAGTAAAAAGGGGTTACCTGCTTCTCAGGGAAGAAGATATTTTGTCATCGAGATCTGTGTTCTTTTTTGAAGGATGCACCTGCATCTGAGGGGCTGTCCAGTCCAGTTTAAAGAACCCTAAAATGGCTTGGAAACCTGCCCCTGAATATTTAATATAGCAGATTGAGCAGGTCTGAAGGTAAAAGTAAAAAGGGGTTACCCGCTGATCACGCCTCCACCCCACCCAAAATGACCTCATAGATTTGCATCAGTTTGCCTAGGATGCTGATTGCATATGTGAAAACTGGAAATAATTAGTTTTAAATTCAGCATAATGGCATCCAGGTAGCCTTCAGACCTGCTCAATCTGCTATATTAAATGTTCAGGGACAACCTCAACGTCTTCTGCCTTCTGTGACATTTTAGGGTTCTTTAAACTGGACTGGACAGCCCCTCAGATGCAGGTGCATCCTTCAAAAAAGAACACAGATCTCGATGACAAAATATCTTCTTCCCTGAGAAGGAAATATATTAAATCAGTCTCCTTTTGACAGACGGGCTCTGTTAGGTTCTCTGGCTTTTTTACACACAGTCCACATTTTAGTATAATTGGAAAAGCGATAGGACCAGATGGCATTTTTGGGTGGTCAAAAAAAATCAGGATGGCATTTCCGGCTACATGATTAAAGCCCCACCCATTTTACGTGTGTCATAAAAAGGGTGGGCTTTGACTGCCAGTCGTGGATGCAGTCTTGACTTTTTTGACCTTCTCTTCCCCCTGCAGATATCCCTGGGAATCTGTTTATGCTTATGAATAACAGCAGTTTTTGTGAATCAAAAGGTCAAAGCTGTAGGCCAGATGTGGTCTTTAGCCACACTGCTGATGGAAAGGTAGCTACAGCTTTGCTGACTTTCGGTTAGAAAACAAAACTAGGTCAGCCATACAATTTTGTGAAATGATTAATCCTCAGGCAAACACAGCACAGTTACTATATTCAGAAGTCCAGGTACTCAACTTTAGGTAAAAAGGTTGGTGAAAGACCCAGCTCTTTCTCCAACTCTCTTTGTCTACAACAGGGTTAAATAGGATTGGATTAAATGTGTTCAAAACATTCTCAGAAAGATTTGATGTGGTCTCCAAGTAGGCGAACCTGAAATATCCTGTACACATCAGTACTTTAATTTCCTTTGTTTTCAAATTCTGCTCTATTAAATAAAGCCACTTTGACTGAGAACGGTTCTTCTGTCTTGCATTTTCAATGCTCTCTGATTTCTGATTGGTATATAGGTTAGATTTTTCACCACACCTCCAACCCAGAAACCACAATTATTAAAAGAGTGGGTGAATCTTTGCAATTTATCTGCTGCAGCATAATTTCTAAATGTTGCAGTTACAGGAGTCTGGATGTGGTTCTCTATTCCTTTCTCACTTCTCAGGAGAGCTTTCCATTTCAACTCCTCTTTTCAGGTTTGAGTGAAATATGCCGCTGGTTAATATTTAACAAAGGAAATGCTTTCTGTTTCTAATTCCATCCCACTTGGTAGAGGAGGAAAACACCTTTGCTCTTCATCCACTGCTTTAACCTTGCAATGTTTTGCTTTCTCAGTCACCCCTTTAGTGCCGTATAACATCTTTCCAGCATATTTTTATAATACCCAAGTTCTTCCATTTCTTCTGGTCTATAGAGTTTTGCCTTGCAGCGTCTTGTATAAAAATTCTGTGGGGAGGAACATGCTTTTATTTTATTGTTTATTTCCCTTCTTGAAGAAGTACAGGTAGTCTTCGACTTACAACCCCAATAGGGACCATAAAATTCATCATTAAGCAGTGTGGTTGTTAAGCAAGGCATCACGTGACTGCAGCCGATTTTATGACATTTTTTGCAGTGGTCGTTAAGTGAGTCACACAGTCCCCCATTGATTTTGCTTGTTGGAAGCCGGCTGGGAAGGTCACAAGTGGCAATCACATGACCCTGGGATGCTGCAACTGTCGTAAATACATGCCAGTACCAATAGGAGAGTATATGTGTAGCTCAGGGTTGAACTGTGGAGTCCTTGGGGTTCTCTGAGCTTGGTTGTTTTCTTGCAAATTTCATTACCCAGCTAGGTAACATCTTCAGTGCTAGAACGGAGTAGAGTTTGCTGTCTGTTTATATGCAGTAGCTTGCCCTGCCTCTGTGTGTGTGTGTGTGTGTGTGTGTGTGTGTTTCCTGGTAGTTCCTTGATTAGGATATTGTTTACTTTCTGAAACTACCAACTGCCATACATCAGAGACGTCTCAGAAACTACCAACAGGCTATTACAACCACACGGCATCACTGTAGCACACAAACCAACTAAAGCCCTCCAAAACATCTTAAGCAAACCAAAAGACCAAATAGCCCAAAAGAAAAAACAGGAGTCATCTACAACATACAGAGTAAGGACTGTAACAGCCACTATGTAGGACAGACAGGCAGAAGGCTAGCAGAGCACATCCGTGAACACTAACTAGCAGTCAGAAGACACGATGAAAACTCCTTAATCTCACAACACACGGACAGACTCAGCCATAGTGTTAACTGGGAAACTGTCAGCATTTTAGACCAAGCTAAATCCAAAAATGCTAGGGAATTCCTGGAAACTTTGTATTCAGACAAGGCAGCCATCAACAGGCACATAGAGATAAACAACATCTACACACTATTCAGCTAAATCCAAAAATGCTAGGGAATTCCTGGAAACTTTGTATTCAGACAAGGCAGCCATCAACAGGCACATAGAGATAAACAACATCTACACACTATTCAAGAGAGACAATAGAAAGGAAGGCAGAAGACCAGAACATCTCCTCACTAACAATCATCACCCAGTTAAGCAGAGATTAACGCCAAGATTAA